GATGTTGAGATCCCGGATAATCTCTCATGGACGGAGTTTGTCTTTCAACATTTTGATGAGTATGGAGATAGAGACGCTATAGTAAGTGTTACAGTTGATTAAAGAAATGGCCGTAATACACACGAAAAAGAAACATTTAAAATCTAATGTTTTAAGTTCAGGTACAGCGGAGTCAGTAGCTAAGCAACTTCCTCCTACTATAAAGATCCCTCATTTTTTTAGTCATTTAACAGAGAGCATGACCATTCGATCGATATCGATACAGTTTTCTTTACAGACACGCAGATTTTCTACGTTATTCCTGTTTGAAGAGTACCTTCTTTATTAAGCTAACATCAATTAACACGAGTTGATGAAGTCCCAAGCTATTTTCACCATATTTTCAGTAAACCAAACCTGCATTCAGAGGACACTACTGAACTACAAGGGTCCTAAATAAAACACGTTGCTTATAGGTTAATAGACCATTTCACAGTTGTGGGCTTAGTAACCTAGTCTTCGGGTGAAAATGAGGCTAAGGTTGATCTTGTTTTGATACAAACCTCCTTTGTTTTCTTATGGAAGTTATACTGGAAAAATACTAGTTAGCATAAGAAAAACATGATTTAAATGTGAAAGCAGAAAAGGCTGAATCAAAATAAGGTCAACTCCAGCCCCGTTTTCATCCATAACTGTAAAATGGTTTATTAGCAGTGAAAAACTGAATCAACCGCTGGCGAAACAATATTACTGATTCTGCTCTAGTAGTTCCAATATTGTGTTCATTTAACGAACGTTAACAGTTTTGAGTTATTATTATATACTTCGTAGGATGGTGTGGGATATACGTGTAGTGTTCACCAAACAAATTTGCTTGGGCTATACGTTTTGGTTTACCTTTTCAAAGTGATTTTAAAGAAGTGATTTTAAAATTGTAATTTATTTCTAGCAGTAACAGGTGGAATCGCATTTAAAAAAAGATTTCAGCAATCTATTTTCTGTCGGTACAATCCTCAAAACGAATCAAAGCACCCTTAAAATAATGATAAAAAAGTTATTATATTAACTGATGCCCGAAAAAAAAAAACGAGCAGGAGTGTATTATCAGGTTTAATAACTGGAGGCGAAGCCGAGAGTTTTTACACCTGATAATACACGACTGCGAGTTTTTTTGATCGGTTGTTGATCAACTCATTCCTGCACTAATATTTAAGAGTTGGGGTTTCCATGGTACAACAAATTGGTCGTAAATAACGTAAATAAATACACTCATAAAAGTAATGTAGCAGCTGTTCGGAAGAGATGTCACCAATGGTGCGTTTCCCTGATCCCAAATAGTCCTAAAACAATTGGGAGAATGACATGTCATTGTTTCCTGTGACCAATTAGGAGAGACCTTACGAGCAGCTCCTACACTATGCCTCATGAAACACTAATTTCTTTTGCTTTTTTCTTTATGAATGATTAATGAGTTTTTGAACTACTGTAATATCATTTGTATTGCAGACGGACAGCGTAACAAGTAGATCATACTCATTCCAGCAAGTCAAAGATCTGAGCAGACGTTGTGCCTCGGCGCTAAACAAGAGAGGCTTCAAAAAGGGCGACGTATTTGCGCTGTTTTTGCCAAATGTGCCACAATTTCCAGTCGTTTACTTCGGCGTATTACAAGCAGGAGGCGTGGTTACCTCGGCTAACCCGCTTTTCACGACAGAGGAATTGGCTAAACAACTGAAACAAGCCGAAGCCAAGTGGATACTGACTGTGCCCCAGTTGGTGCATCGGGCAAAAGAGGCCATGGGGGAACTGGGGCGAGAAAACGTTTTTGTGGTTGGTGACGTGGATGGGTGCGAGTCTGTCTCAGTACTTCTCAAAGACGATGGTTCAAGTGTACCCGAGGTTACGATCAGCCCCAAAGAAGATGCAGCAGTGATTCCCTTTTCCAGTGGAACTACTGGCCACCCAAAGGGAGTTGTCCTGACCCACTACAATCTCATAGCGTGCGGGAGTATAATGCGTGCTAAGGGTTTCCTGAGCTTCGATGAGACGACTGTTCTTTTGGCATTTCTGCCATTTTTCCATAGTTTCGGTATGGTCGCCAATATGTCGATGGGACTTCATTCCGGCAGTTCCCTTGTCACTATGCCGCGTTTTGAACGAGAAAAGTTCCTTAAAGCTCTTCAGCGGTTCGAGGTTAGTTAGATGAGTGTTGCCTAACTTAATCTTCCATAGGGTTAGGTTTCCGAAATATGTTAGTTCTAAAAGACACTGAAATGTGGTGAAATAATGTGCATCTGCTGCATGAAGGATGGTAGTTTTGGATTTCCTGCCGTGAGAAAAAACTAATGAAACACTTCTGCTAGCATTTTTTTTTCGCAAGCATATGTAAAAAAAAGCCAAAACAATCATAAGGTTGCAATCGGATTAGATACCCTCTACAGCCTTTATTCCATGCTCCCTCTCATTATTCTTGGTTTGCAAGCGCGACAAGGCGGCCATGGCGGTGGTCAATACAATAAACAGGATAGGAATAGGCCTATTAACAGTTTTCAAAGTTAGAATGACAGATTACCTCGCCAAGAAATGTTTTAGTGGTGAAAAGGTTAAACAAAATTCTTCTAACGTACTTCTTATTTTTTTAAGGTGACGCACTTATCCGTGGTACCCCCCGTGGCGCTTATGTTAGCTAAACATCCGGACGTTGACACCTTTGATTTATCGTACCTGACCGAAATTACTTGTGGGGCGGCTCCCCTGGGACGAGAATTGTCCAAAGCGCTGATGGACAGACTACCCCTACTGGGTAGTGTTAGGCAAGGTGGGTAGCCTGTGTGACGAAGAAGAAATAAGAGAACTCGGGTGTTTACCATTTACACAAACCACCCGGGTGGAAATCCTGTGCATAGATTGAAAAGTTTAAGTGTGAACAAAATTTGCTCGAGGTGGGAGAACAAACCGCTACAAAGTATATCCAAATCAGCTGAGCAGCCTGAAAAGAATAGAAAATTGTATCACCACAAATCACAGCCCATATTATCTGAAGCTACCTAAAAGAAAATGCGCGAACCATTTGATTTTCCAACCGGTATTTCCGGCTTTCCTGTGTAAATGGTAAGCATTTACCGTGTAACAAGGATTGTGAGGTACAAAGTTATAAAATTACACAAGATTCGGATACCCGTCGTGACTTCGCCCTGGTCGGGAAATTATTACAAAAGTATTAGTTAAGATCCTGATAATTCATTTATCGGCGCATCGATCTCAATTCTTTACATCACTCAACCTCTCTATTTTCTCAGAAACGCTGTTGGAAAGAACACTTCAAAATGCGAGCAAAATAACAGCGCGGACGACGAGAAAAAAAGGGCGAGGATCTTGACCTCGGTGAAGGTGCAAACACCTCTGGAGGGACGAGGAATTTACTTTTTTTTGAAAGTTGCTTACAGTCTCTCAAGCCGACATACCATCCCGCTTTTAGATGTTTTGCCATTCAAATGTAACCAAATGTATTCTTCTCCCAAGATCTTTTGTATACTTTGCTTCCTCGCACAACTCCTAGAAACTGACAGATACGAAGACCACCATGCATGTTTGTTTTTCTTCCACTACTTCCGACAGGTTATGGTATGACGGAGCTCAGTCCAGTGTGTCACATGACCCCAGCTGGTAACGACAAACATGGTTCTGTGGGGGTCCTTCTGCCAAACTTGCGATGTAAGGTAAGACTATCACGTTATCTCGATCGGGAGACCGCTTGCATGCATCAAATGGACAGACCTCACATTCACCATAACATTACCTAAGCGTGGCTCTCAGCACTTTATACACTCTTTGTTTACATGTCTACTAGTTGTTCCCACAGTGATAAAAAAGAATGTCCCATTTTTAGCGAAGGCGTTCATTTTCATAGCCAAAATCTTAAGTAACTTTAGTGCAGTGATGAAGTGGGCTTCCTGTGCAAAGCCAAGCCCCTAGGAGTTATGGTTGTGCAATAAAGAGAAAAGTGAAAGCTTGATTTTTGTGTGTGTGTGTGAGAAACTGCTCGCATCAATTGAAGAATCCGTCAGGAGTACAAATATTACAGTCACCCCAGGTATAACTCTTTGCTTCGGCATGTTATCAAAAATGCTTGTTTTGTTTTTCAGTGCCTTGAGGGCAATCTTCACGTTAGAAATTTTCTCAATGGCTAAAGTAGTTCTGAGGAATTAGCGATATTTAATACATCATTATAGAGTTAATCCTCAGTTTCCTTATATGCGCTCACGTCCGCAGGTTGTTGACGTGGAGACTGGGGAAGCTCTCGGCCCAGGACAAGACGGCGAGATTTGTGTTAAAGGACCTACTGTCATGAAAGGTATAAATCCAGCAGTTAATCAAGGCAACGTCCTCCCCCATAACGATCAATTTCCCCCGCTTTTCAACTCAAACAAACCAGGCAGCTTGAAGTTTAAGGAATTTGTCCTCCACTATTTAATGTGTCATTGACTTGCATCGGACCAATTTCGATAAATTAAAATTCATACTTGGCTCCGAGGCTTGGGGTAATAAAACAAAAGGAATCATCTTGAGGCCCAGCGATGAACAACATATTTCTTTTATTTTATTCCCCCAAGCCTCACACAAAACATCATTGTTTAACATTATTTCCTATGGCAAAGCTACTTCCTAATATGCACAGCATGTAGAGTTCCTAATTATTCATTCTCTTCAGGTTATCTAAACAACCCAGAAGCAACAGCTCAGACGATTGACAGTGATGGCTGGCTACACACAGGAGATATCGGACAT